TCTCATGACCTTTCATTACTCCCCTGGAACCGATCTAAACACATGATGAGTATTCAGACTTTTCTAATTACCTGATTTTCTGGATGGACCTATTTATTTTCAAATTCATATCATATTATAGATACAGTGTTTATTTTAGTAGGCTTTCCTGGATAGTTTTGTGTCAACTTGACAGAAGATAGATTCATTTGGAAAGAGGGAACTTCAATTGAGAAAATATAAAAACAGGTTTGCCTGTGGAAAAGCCTGACTTGTGAGGATTTTCTTGATTGATTCATATGAGAGTGCCTACCTCACTGTGGGTTGTGCCCCATATAAGCAGATGTTCCTGGGTGCAAAAGAATCAGGCTGAGAAAGCCATAAGGAGTAAGCAAATAAGCAGTTTTTCCATGGCCTCTGAATCAATTCCTGCATCCAATTGATTCACTAGATAATGGACTATAAGCTGTAAGATGAATTAAGCTCTTTTCTCTCGAGACCCAGCTATACCACTCTTGGGTATATACCCAAGGAATGCTCAATCATACCACAAGGACACATGCTCAACTATGTTCATATCAGCATTATTCATAATAGCCAGAACCTGGAAACAACCTAGATGTCCCTTAACTGAAAAATGGGTTAAGAAAATGTGGTACATATACACAATGCAGTACTACTCAGCAGAGAAAAAAAAAATGACATCATGAAATTTGCAGACAAATGAATGGAACTAGAAAATATCATCCTGAGTGAGGTAACCCAAACCCAGAAGGATAAACATGGTATGTACCCACTCATAAGTGGATACTAGATATAAAGCAAAGGGTAATCAGGCAACAACTCGCAACTCCAGAGAAGTTAACACATGGACCGTCCTGGGAAGGGAAAATAGATGAGATCACCATGAGTAAACTGGGGATGAGGGGTGGGCAATGGAGGGTAGGGGATAGAGGATGAGAACGTAAGTGAATGGGATGATTGAGCTGGAACAGGGAGGGAGGGAGAATGCAATGAAAGAGATACCATGATAGAGAGAGACATCACGGGGATAGAGAGAAACCTGGTGCTAGGGAAGTTGCCAGGAATTCCCCAAGGACGACCCCAGCCTGGACTACTAGCAATAGTAGAGAGGGTGCCTGAACTGAACTGGCTTACCCCAGTGATCAGATCAGTTAATATCCTAACTGTCATCACAGAAGTTTTCTCCAGTGACTGATGGAGGCAGATGCAGAGATCCACAGCCAGTCACCAGGCAGAGCTCCAGAAGTCCAGTCAAAGAGAGAGAGGAGGGATTCTATGAGCAAGTGCATCAGGATCATGATGGGGAAACCTGCAGGGACGACCAAACCAAACTAGAGGGAACTCATGAAACTTGGATCAATGGCTGTGGAGCCTGCATGGGACTGGACTTGGCCCTCTGCATGGTGAGACAATTGTGTAGCTTGATCTGGTTGTGGGGGCCCCTTGGCAGTAGGATCAGAATCCAACCCTGATGCACGAGCAGGCTTTTTGGAGCCCACTACCTGTGATGGGACACCTTGTGCAGCTTTGAGGTAGGAGGAAGGACTTGGACTTGCCTCTGGATGTGCCTCCCCATGGGAGGTCTTGCCTTCTTCTGGGTGGAAGTAGGGGGTGGGTTGGGAAGGGGAAGCTGGGTAGGGGGCAGGGAAGAGGGGGAATCTTTGATTGGTGTGTAAAATTAATGAAAAAAATTCTTAATAAAAATAATGGGGGGGGAAAAAACCTCTTTTCTCCTCAAGTTGATTTTTGTCGCTTTTTAAAAATCAGAGCAATAGGAACCCTAACCAAAAAAGTTTGTTTTCAAACCTTTTCCCTGGCTAGTTGTGGATTTGCTTTTAGACTTGTAGCAAGAAAGAAGACAGTAGCCGGGCGGTGGTAGTGCACACTTTTAATCCCAGCACTCAGCAGGCAGAGGCAGGCAGATCTCAGTGAGTTCGAGGCCAGCCTGGGCTACAAATCGAGTTCCAGGACAGGCTCCAAAGCTACACAGAGAAACCGGGTCTTGAAAAACGAAAAACAAACAAACAAAAAAATGGAAGAAAGAAGACAGTGATGAAGATATGTAGCTGTCTTAGTTATTTGTCATTGTCAACAGGTATTATGTGATATTTTGATTGTGTTCTGATAAATAAAGCTTACTTGGAGTTAGGGGCAGAGCTAGCCACTTGCTGACCTAAATTAATCATAGAGGTTTGGAAGAGTATAGACAGAGAAGAGATAGGAAGTGGTAATGTGGGGCCTTCTTTGTTCTCTCTTTCTAGGCCCTCAGCTAGTTCAACCACAGCTGAACTTCTCCTCCAGTCTGCAAGTACCACCTGCCTCCTATGTACTCCGACCTCACTCTCCCCTGTCTTTCCTGGAACCATCGGGATCCTCACTCATGTCCCCATTCTGGATCCTTGGCATCTGTCTGGTTGTTAACATGATCCTGGGATCTCTGAAAGTCACATGAATAAACAAGACCAGATGTTCCTTCCCTCTTGGAATAAGTATATGAGTTATGTTGGATTTTACAGGTGTTCACAGGGAAATACAATAGATTTCAGGGTGGGCTGGGGGTGAGTGGGGTTGGGGACAGGAGGGATAAAGTTCAGTGGGGAGGGGCAAAACATTGGGAGAAATGACTGGAATTGGTGGGCAATTCAGGGGCGAGGTGAAAACCTAGTGCAATGGGAACGTCATGCAATCTGCAAGACTAACCCTAGCAAAGACTCCTAGTAATGAGGGATATGGAGCCTGAACTAGCCATCTGTAATCAGGTGATGCCTCAAGTGGAGGACAAAACCTACAACCTGCATCCGGAGTTTTCTAGGACCAGAGCTTAGAGTCATCAAGAGACCAGAGAGATTTCATCCAGCAACTGATGGGAGCAGATGCAGAGTCCCACAGCAATACATTAGGCAGAGCTTGGGGAGTCCTATGGAGGACGGGGAGGAAGAATGGGAGGAACAGAAGAATAAGGACACCAAGGAAACATGGCCCACAGAATCAACTGACCTGGGCTCACATAGGCTCACAGAGGTCAGGGATCCTATAGGAGTCTGACCTAGACCCTCTGCATATATGTCATGGCTGAGTAGCTTGGTGTTCTTGTGGGATTCCTAACAGTGGTTGCGGGGACTGTCACTGGCTCCTTTGCCTACTTGTGGGACTGTTTTCCACCTACTGGATTGCCTTGTCTGGCCTTGATGTGATGGTATGTGCCTGATCTTATCGTAACATGTTATGCCATGTTTGGCTGATGTTCCTGGGACACCTGCTCTTTTCTGAGGGGAGATGGAGAGGGAGTGGATCTGGGGAAGAAGAGCTCTGGAGGGGAGGGACAGGGGGAGTGGAGGAAGGAGAAATTGTGATCGGGATATAATATATGAGAGAAGAATAAAAACGTCTCACATATAGATAAAGGTAATATATAAAACAGCTACAGCTTTATGAGCTTTCTTTGAAGCAATGGCCAGCTCTGCTACTCTGGAGCCAAGAGGAGGAGAAACACTACAAATAAGCAAACTGTTGTAGTGAATCTCATTATGATCGACTACCCTGTGTTTTAACAGAGACAAACATATAGACAAACATGTGTTTTAAACAAACAGTTACCTTCATATGCATCTGCAATCAAAACAAAAGTTTGGATTTTGAGAGAGACTTGGGGTATTTTAAAGAGAACTGTCTCTGTTTTCTTTGAATCAAGAAGTTTCCTGCATCTGCTTCCATCAGTGACTAGATAAAGGCTCTCTGTTGAAAACTAGTGTAGTCACCACTGTGAGATCAGAACCTGTCCCTGGCACTTAACCAGCTTTTTGGGAACCTGTTCCCTATGCTGGATTACCTCACCCAGCCTTGATATAGGAGGAAGAGCTTGGTGCTACCTCAACTTGATGTTCCATGCTTTGTTCAAGCCCATGGGAAGCCTGGCCCTTTATGAATGGTAACAGAGGAGGAGTGGATGGGGAGAAGGATAGAAGAGATTCTGTGTAACTGGGTTTATGTTGAGGTCTTTGATTCTTGAGTTTTGTGCAGGGCAATAGACATGTCTATGTGCATTCTTTTACATGCAGTCATTCAGTTAGATCAGAACCATTTTTTGAAGATACTTCCTTTTTTCCATGGTACAGTTTTGGCTTCTTTGTCAAAAATCATATGTCCATAGGTGTTTGGATCTATGTCTGGGTCTTTGATTTGACTTCATTGGTCAATATGTCTGTTTTTATGCTAATACCATGCTGTTTTTATTACTATTTTGTAGTGAGCTTGAGGTCAGGGATGGTGATACCTCTGACAGTTCTTTTCTTTTCTTCCTTTTAAGATTTGTTTAGCCAGGTAGTGGTGGCACACACCTTTAAGCCAAACAATTTAAATTTAGTAATAGGTGGATCTCTGTGAGTTCAAGGCCAGCCTGGTCTGTAGAATGAGTTCCAGGACAGCCAGAGATATGCAGTGAAACCCCGTCTCAAAACTATTTATTTTATTTTTTGTGTGTGAGTGCTTTGCTTGCATGTATGTATGTTCATTGTGTGTGTGCCCAGTGCTCAGGGAAGTCAGAAGAGGGCTTTTGGGTCTCCTGTAACTGTAGTTACAGATGATTGTGGGAGTGAACTCAGGTCCTCTGCAAAAGCAAAAAGTGCTCTTAACTGCTGAGCCATCTCGCTAGCCCTGGAGAATCATTCTTTTAGTGGGTATGGACATTGTTAGATTGTGCATAGTCCATTGAATGACCACACATCCATGTTCATAACAGCATTGTGGGAAGCACTAATTGACATAGTGGGTATGGTGGTTTGAATAAGAATGACCTCGTCTTAGTCAGTGTTCTATTGCTGAGAAGAGACACCATGATGACTGCAACTCTTATAAAAGAAAGCATTGAATTGGTGGCTTGACTACAGTTTTTGAGTCTTAGTCCATTATCACCATGGCAAAGAAGCATGGTAGTAGGCGTGATAGACATGATGCTGGAGAAGTAGTTCAGAGCTATATCCTGATCTGTAGGCAGCAGGATGCTGGCTTTGGCAGCACATATACTAAAATTGGAATGACACAGAGAAGATTAGCATGACCCCTGGACAAGGATGACATGCAAATGTGTGAAGTGTTCCATATTTTTAAGCTTTAAGCCCAGGGACACAACCTGTGCTCCCATACCCCCAGCCATTGCAACCCCAGTTGCAGGCCAGCAGGCAGGACTCTTGCAGGCAGGCCTGACTACCACCATCCTCCACTGGACCATGTAACCCCACTCCACCCCCAAAACCCACTCATCCTCTGAGACCACGCTGCTCCCTGAGACACAGACTCCACCAGCTCCAATTGGACCAAGAGCTCTGATTGGACCAAAAGTGGCCCCCTAAGACACAAACACCATTTGCACCAATTGGAGGAATAGATGGGTAGATGCCAGTGCAAGATTACATTCAACAACATAAAAATCAATATGGCACCACCAGAACCTAATGGTTCTACATCACCAAGACTTGAACATCCCAATGCAGGAGAAGAAAGTTACCTTAAAAATGACTTTAAGAAGATGATAGAGGCCTTTAAAGAGGAAATGAAAAATCCCCTTAAAGAAATCGAGAGGAAAGAGGTAGTAGGTGGGGAGAGAGAAGAGACAGGACCTGGATTGGGATTTTTGAAACCTCAACACCCACCCTCAATGGCACACTTCCTCCTACAAGGCGACACCTTCCTCAACAACCAGCACTCGGGAGGCAGAGCCAAGTGGATCTCTGTGAGTTTGAGGCCAGCCTGGTCTACAGAGCAAGTTCCAGGACAGGCTCCAAAGCTACACAGAGAACCCTGTCTTGAAAACAAAAACAACCCAAACATTTAGGAAGATTTATGAAATTTTATCCTGTTAGAAATATGATATACCAATAGGCCAATTTACTCCTTTTCTTAAGACGTTTTCTCTGGATGATTCATCCTTTTTTCTTCAGATGTCTCATTTGTCCAATGGTCTTCAGATTCTTTAGATGGTTGCCTTCATTCTCCTGGAAAGACAAAAACAAAACCCTGCCCCAACCCTAATTTGGGGGAGTTTCCCTCTTGGCAAGTTATATCTGATCAAATGAAAAACTTTTGTTGGTCTTATAAGTTAGTTTAGATTGAATGGTCATGCTGGTTTGTGAACTATCACCACTTTTAATCAAGAGGTCTTTCTTGTTCAAATCTAATTTTATCAATTTTGTTGGTATCCATAGCTTTTCTTCTCCTGTGGAATCAAAAGCAAAACCTCTTCCCCAATGTAACAAATATCCTGGTTTTCATTCTGAGGTCAATACATCTTTAAAGTACACAGGCTGATTTAATTCAGTAGTTTATTCTGTTATCCAATGTTTCTCTGTAGCTGTTGTCCCTTTCTCATTAGCATTTAAAAATTTTTAAGTTAATAAAGCATTGTGCAATCTATCTCTGGTGATCTTTATTACCCCTTTCTTTTTATTAAGCATATCTTTTATAGTTTGATTAGATCTTTCTATAACTACTTGTCCTGTAGGATTGTGTGGTATATCTATAATATGCTTTATGTTGTAATACGAAAAATACTGTTTCATTTTACCAGAGACATATGCTGGAACATTGTCAGTCTTAATTTGTACTGGTACCCCCATGATGGCCATAACTTCTAATAGATGTGTAATTACAGAATCAGCCTTTTCATAACTCAAAGCAGGTGCCCATTGAAATCCTGAATATGTATCTATGGTGTGGTGTACATATTTTAATTTTCCAAACTCTACCAAATAAAACACATCCATTGGCCAAATTTCATTTCTTTGAGTACCCTTTGGATTACTTCTTGCAGGTAGTAGAGTTTGGTTATACAAGGAACAAGTAGGACATTTTCTTATAATTTCCTTAGCTTGTTGCCAAGTGATGGAAAAATCTTTTTTCAAACCCTTGTTATTGATGTGGTGTTTTTCATGAAGTTCTGAGACTTCTAGCACATTTCCTGGCAATAGATGATCAATTTCATTATTACTGTGTTCTAGAGGGCCTGGAAGACCCATATGGGATCTAATATGTGTTATATATAAGGGATGGTTTCTACTTCTGATTATTTCTTATAACTGAATAAATAATAGAGTCAATTCTGTATCATCTGGAATAAATTCAGCAGTTTCTGCTGTGGGATGTTCTCTGTGTTGTGAATGTATTGCTATGATTGATTGATAAATAAAATGCTGATTGGCCAGTAGCCAGGCAGGAAGTATAGGTGGGACTAGCAGAGAGGAGAATTGGAGGAACAGGAAGGCAGAGTGAGGGAGACAATGCCATGAGAAGATGTTAAGGTACTGGTAAGCCGCAAGCCACGTGGCAATTTATAGATTAATAGAAATGGGTTAATTTAAGATGTTAGATCTAGATAGCAAGAAGCCTGAGCCATTAGGCCAAATAGTTTAAATAATATAAGCATTTGTGTGTTTATTTGAGTCTGAGTGGCTGCCGGCTTGGGCGGGACCAGAGATAGCTCCAAATACAAGTTTCAACTCTTTCTACATATTGAGAATAGTCAATAACTATATTAAGACCCATGTCCACCCCTAGTCCACATTACAAAACCTCTCTGGCATCATTATGAAGGGTCCAGGAATATAGGAATAAGATAAAAATGTAGGAATAAGATAAAAATATAGGAATAGCTTAAGAGACAGAAGCTGACAGCCATCAGCCTGGCCAGCAAAAAAGGGATTAACCTCTAACTGGGCCTTTCCTCGTTTTATGATGGGCAGCTCTGTCAGCAACCCAAATGTTAATTTTTTATTAAAGATTGCCCTCTGTAGACCTGGGGTTAGCTATTTTTCAATAACCCCCCAACCACTCACTACCAAAACCAAAGTTAACTTTTAATGAGTTCTACATGACAACCTGCTTTGCATTGTTTCATATTCCTCCCACTATGGGAAACCAACTATGTCAGGAAAAGTTGCTGGTTTGGGCAAACATGAATTAACTGAGTCAGGAAGGACTGCAGGGATATACAAATATTGTTTAGCTGAAACCCTCTAAAAGCCTTGTTAATGGAAAATTGTAAAAACCTAAAACAATTTGTCTCTAAAAAATTTTTTAAGATTTTATTTATTATGTATACAGTATTCTACCTGCATGTGTCCTTGCAGGCCAGAAGAGGGCACCAGATCTAATTGCAGGTGGTTGTGAGCCACCATGTGGTTGCTGGGAATTGAACTCAAGACCTCTAGAAGAGCAGTCAGTGCTTTTAACCACTGAGCCATCTCTCCAGCCCTTGTCTCTAAAATTTAATTTCAAAATTGTAAAAATTCCTTTTTCCATGCCTAATGCTTATCCTCTTACTATAAAAGGGGGCTCATAATCCCCCTCCAACTGCCACAGCCCTAGAATCCCAAACTCAGGCAGTAGTCTCAACTAGCTGATAAGCTTTTGTGCCCCATGGTGATTCCCACCCACCTCCACCCCTGCTTTGGTTTCTTTTGGAATAAAGTCTGCTTCTGGTTTAATAGACTTTGGTGATCTGTCCCCCATTATTGTATTACCCCGGACCCGACAGCTAAGTGGAAGATTTTTATTGTAGATATGAAGGAGGGAACAGCCAGAGACATCTGGAAGAGTCCAGAGCAGAGAGATAGAAAGTAGTAGACTGAACATGGCTGACAGGCCCTGGCCATGAAAGAAGCAGGAGCAGAGCAGAGAGAGATGGAAAAGTGGTGGGCAGAGTGAGAGGTGAAGACAGAGAGTACAGGCCAGAAAGAAAGTGCATGGCTGAATAGCAGAGTTGAAAATAGAGGTGAGTAGGTGGAGGAAAAGGAAACTCCTGAACGGGAGGACGTTTAGGGGGTGGGGGAAGAAGACCTGAGAAGAATTGGGGTGCCAGCAAGGACTCTGGGATGTGTAACAAATACTTGTTTTACTGAGGGAGCCTGAAGGTATGTTAATTTGGTATGTTAATAGGCACCACAGACAATCATTTGTCCCTTCTGCCAGTGGTAAGGGAGATGGCTCCTCTGGGTGGAAGGAAACTGGATTTCCTGAGGAATGCTGGCTTTTGTCTCACTGACAGAATATGGGGAAATGGAGTTTCCTTTGGACATGACATCATAATAACCATGGACTGTGAGCCCCAAATTAAACACTTTCTTCTATAAACTGCCTTGGTCATAGTGTCTTGTCACAACAATAATAAAGTAAGAAGATTTGCTGTGGGCTGGAGAGATGGCTCAGCAGTTAAAAGCTCTTGTTCTTGCAGAGAATGGGAGTTCAATTCCCAGAACCCACATAATGACTCATAACCATCTGTAACTCCAGTTCCAGGAGATCTAGTACCTTCTTCTTGACCTCTTCGGACACTAGGCATACACATGGTGTACACACATATGTGCAGGCACAACACACATATACATACTATAAATAAATAAATCTAACATCAGCTGTAACAAATGATAAAATAGACATTCAAACAAACGTTGTAAAGTGCCCGGAAGAGATATGCTTATTTAGGGCAAGGTTGCTGTGGATCAAACCCAGGGCCTCTTATGCAAAGCAAGTACTCTACCATCTGAGTTATAGCTCCAGCCCAGATATGCTAATTCTGTTGAAAACAATCCTCAGGATCTTGTTAAAATAAGAAATCAAGTGAGTCATTACTTTTAATTGCTTTTCTCCCAGCATGTATCTGGCAGAAGAGCAAAATGTCCCTCGGGGTCTTTTGTCTTGATGGAGTTGATTTGTCTTCTTAGATACAGAAAAAAACCAGCAGAGCAATGAATTATCTGAGAGTAAAACCAATTATAACTACAGGCATTTCTTTGAAAGTCATTTTCACAAGATGAGACAATAATTTTTAAAGGCCCAAGACACTCGCAAGACCCTTGTATTCAACATATCTATGTATAGATTTACTCAGAAAAAGGAGTAATTTAGTAACATCACGAATATTTGCGTCATTCTCCATATTGTGCCAGGAAACAAGATTGATATTCTTGGAATGTTCTCAACTCAACACCTTATCAAATCAACTCCTTAAATTAGTTTTAAGGACTCAGAAAAATAGTCTTCCTTCTAATGTAGCATTAGAAGAAAGAAGACATTTCTATACTGCTTCTTAACATTTCTTTTGCTAATAATGAA